TCCCGAGTAAACGCCTCGTAGTCCCAAAGTAAATATGCAAGATAGGGGGATCTCCCGAGTAAACGCCTCGTAGTCCAAAAGTAAATATGCAGTACAGGGGGATCTCCCGAATAAACGCCTCGTAGTCCCAAAGTAAATATGCAAGACATGGGGTCTCCCAGGGTACCGCCTCGTAGTCCCAAAGTAAATATATAAGAGCAAGGACGGAAGAATAACTCAGCAAGAACAACCTCTTCTTAAATCCAAATTTTGATAAATATATTAACACCTCAATTTAAACTTATTTACTTAATTATTTGCAGATGAAAAATCCATAATGTGATTATTTTCAAGAAATGTCAAATCAACAAACACACGAAATTCACATAAAAATCCAAATGGTAATCACACCAAATTATCATATAAATTACAAACTAGAAAAACAAGGAATGAGGCATGACAATAAAGGATTTAATAAGTACCAATAATTTTCAATTTAATACTTAAGGGTGTCTAAGAATTTTAACCGACATAATTTACACATATAAATCAAGTACGTACTCGTCACCTCGCGTACACGGCTTTCACATTACACAAATGGCATATACAACTCAATGCCTAAGGCATAATTCCCCCACTCAAGGTTAGGCAAGATACTTACATCTTTGAAGTTAGGTCGATATTCCAAAATAGCCTTCTTGCTTTAATTGACCTCCAAACAACTCAAATCTATCCAAATTAATTGTATAACTTCATTAAAATTTATTGAAAATAATTTCAGATAATAAAACGTCGACTTAAAATTTCACATTAAAAAGTCAACCAAAAGTCAATGCGGGGCTCAGCTCTCGGAACCCGACAGAATTTTTACGAAATTCGAACACTCATTCCGATACGAGTTCAACCATACCAAATTTACCAAATTCCGATAACGAATCGTTTTTGAAAGATTTTGCAAAAATCTCATTTTCTTCCAATTGATTCACTAATAAAAGATGAAAATAATCATGGAATCATAAAATATAATGAAAATCAGGTAGGAAACACTTACCCCAATCCATTTGGTGAAATTCCTCTCAAAAATCGCCCAAATCCAAGTTTCCTAGCTCCAAAAATGTTGAAATGAGCTAAAAAAATAAAACTGCTCAATATAAACCCATTTGCCGTCAGTAAAAAGTCAATTTCCTGTCACTAAAAGTCTGCACCAGAACCTGCTTGCACCAGTAATTTAAAATTTCACTAAAAAGGCTCTAACTCCATCATACGAACTCGGAATTCGACGATTCTTGTTCCTATGAGTCAAAAATAATAATACAAACCTAGTCATTCAATCGAAACTCAATTCAGAGCTCATTTGCTCAATGCGATACCAATTTCGCTCGTTAGATAATTAACTCAAGTTTCGCGCTAAAAACCCAATCGCGACTTGATTAAATTAGACCAAACATTCCAGATCATTCCTATAATTCATTATCAAACTCCCGGAAGTTCTAAATCAAATTTCGATCTGTAGAACTAAAAATTGACCTTTAGATCATTACATGTTTATGCTCAAAACACCAAACTCTTCCAAACACTCTTCCAAAACTCATCCGAGCCCCATGAGACCCCAACCAAGTATACTAACAAGTCCCATAACATGACACAAACTTAGTCGATGCCTCAAATTATATTAAACAATACTAAAACACGAATCGCACCCCAATTCAAGCTTAATGAAAACTAGTGAATTCCAAATTCTACAGTCAATGCCGAAACCTATCAAATCAATCCGGAATGAACCCAAATTTTGTACACGAGTCCTAAATGATATAATGGAGTTGTTTCAATTTCCGGAATTGAATTTCAACCCCGATACCAATAAAGTCAACTCCCGGTTAAACTTTCTAAAAATCTTCCATTTTCCAACTTTCGCCAAAATGCGTCAAATTGTCCTATGGACTTCCAAATCCAAATCCGGATATACGTCTAAGTCCGAAATTACCATACGAAGCTATTGACATCATCAAAATTCCATTACGGAATCGTTTACTCAAAAGTCAAATTCCGTTCTACTCTTTTCATTTAAGCTTCAAAAATAAAAATTGTTCTTTCAATTTAGTTCTGAATCTTCCGGAAATCAAACTCGATTACACACGCAAGTCATAATACACATTACAAAGCTGCTCGGGACCTTGAGTCACTGAACATGACATAAATTATTACAACAACAAGTCAGGTCGTTACACACCACCACATGCTTACCAACCTAGTTGCAATCCTTCTTGACCTTGGAGAGGAAGCTATCGGTGACCGAGCATATATATCTCGAGACCGGATCACACCGACCCGGTACCGAGGAGGTTTTCTCGACCTTTAAATCAGCACCGGTCGGGCACCCCGCAGAAACGAACATCTTCAAGAAGGGCTCCAGTGTCGTTTCCTCAGTAGCAGCAGACGAAATATTTTCCTCTTCAGCCGATCACGAGGCATAGGGAGTTTCTTTTTGGGGAAAGGACTTTGAGGTATTTGCCATTTCTTTGGAAAATTAAGGAAAAAGAGGAAGTTAAAAGAATATGCTTGATAATTTGGGATAAAGAACAGAAGTTCTTATAAAGGGATTTCAGAATAATCAGAAAATTGATGTTTGGGAATATTGAGATTTCTAAGGTACGAGGGCAGAAGATTTGAAAGTAAAGTTTGAATGAGCTAATGAAGGGGTATTTATAGTGTCTCAGCGACTGTCCATATCTGGGAATGGCCGACCGGCGACTGACAGGCATTTAATGCCATTAAAACTTGACTGACGAGATATTTTGACAGTTTTGTCGTTTCTGTCGCAAAATATCGAGGTCAGGATCGGAAGTTCAAGTCGTTTCTCGTCATCTACTCTCCGAAAAAACAAGGGCACTATGTGTTTACGGTCGAAATCGAGCTCGACTACAACTTGATAGATTTGTCTTGGAACGTGGCGACCACGGACTGGAGATTGACCTCAAGTCTCACCAAGCTTGAACCTGAGGTCGGAAGACCTGCCCTCGAGGAACGTTGAGTCCGGTCTCGATCTTAGCCTCGAGCGAGCTCGAAAATAACAAACGGAAGACCGAAATATGCGCGATTGGGCAGATATTACGGCGAAAATCTCGGCGCATATCGGTAAGGAGCCAGCAATTAGCAAATCAAGAGATTTTTACCTTTAATAGAAATGTACCTAGAGTATGACTCTTCTACTATATAAAGGAGGGGGGGTCTGATAATTCATTGCACATATGGTAACACGCATTCCAAAGCAATATACTATTATTTCTAGTTCTTATTATCTCATCATTTTATTCCGGCATCGATTAAAGTATTTTTGACTCAAGGGTGACCAACTTTCAAGGCCAAGATTGTTCAACCCGTGTGGTTTGCATTTACTTTTTCATCATTAATTTCAATATTAATCCGATTACTCATTTTGTACCAAGTTAGATCACGTATTCTTAAAGACACGTATAAATTCAATTGTTATCCAATTTTAAGGGTAAACAAGTGTATAAAAAGGTAAAAATCCCAAGAAAAATAAACAACTGGGCAGTAATGATAAACAAAGAGAGCCTCGTTTTCGTGCTAGTCAGAAATTACCCAACAAGAAATTTCGTTATCTTAGGACTGCTATAGTTACAATTGTTGTTCACTGAAGCTTCGATCACTGGCTCATATGTCATCAGGGAAATGGTGCAATCTTTTTTAATTTTATATTTAGTCATACGATGAGAAAAATCATCCGATTAGAAAAAAAGGTTTGACAAAAATTAAGCTTCAAAGGTGAAGTTTAAAATTACGTAATATACCCACCCCAAAAATAAAGCAAGCAAAATATATATTTTTTATATTAATATATTAATATACATATTTTATATTTTTTTATATTTGACTAGCACATATAATTATTTTTTGACCGACCGGCTAAATATGTAATTTGTCCTTTAAAAACGGGATCTTTACATAAATAGCCGACCATATTCACTGTTTACATTTTCTAGCCATATACATATATTATATATTGATTATACATAATTATACACAGATTATGCATATATTATAATCTACGGGCTATTTTTAATTTAAGCGATTGGCTGAGCATAGGGGCGGATATACATGGGCTCAAACGGTGTCACGTGACACCGCTTCGTTGAAAGTTTTACTAATAATTGGATATAAATATAAAAAATGACACTGTTTGTCATTATATTAATTAATTTATTTATTTATTTATTCACTTCTTCAAATGTTGACACCTCTTGTGCAAAATCCTGCGTACGCCACTGGCTGAGCAACTATAATAACAACAACAATAACCCAGTACAATTCCATTAGTGGGGTCTGGGGAGGGTAGTGTGTACGCAGACCTTATCCCTACATTGGGATAGAGAGGCTGTTTTCGATAGACTCTCGGCTTACTCCCTCCAAGAACTCCTCACCTTGCTCTTGGGGTGACTCGAACTCACAACTATTTGAGTTAATTTTCTTGAAAAATTGAACGTCGTTATGCGTATTATTCGGCCGGCCCAAATCCATGTGGCAAAGGCCCAAATGCTGTTTCCCATATTTCCAACTCATAGGAAACTCTTATGTAAAAATAAAATAAAATAAAATAAAATAAAAAATAAACATGAATTAAAATAGGCAAAAAAAAATATAAAGTTGAAATTGTACGTGTCTATAAATTTCACTTGGCAAAATGTTGAATTTCTGAATAAAAATCACTATATTTTACTAGAAATACCTTGTCCAATAAATATAACCAAAAAAAGGTGTAAAACAACAAATTTATAAATTTCATTTTTATTTCCTTTCCTTTCCTTTCCTCAGACTCTCTCCTAATAAAGTAATTACGGCTGCAGCAACAATCCCAACCTAACATAAAATCAATGCAAAGTATTTAGATTCTGTCCTTATTCCAGTCGGCGAAGTTTCCTATTATTATTATATTATTATTATTATTTCTTTACTTTCTCCTTTTCCTATATTACTTACTTGTCACCTCCTCTTTCACATTCTGCCACTTCAACAAAAATCCCTTTCATATGCTCTCTTAATTCCGCCAAAGTTCTCTGCTTTTTTCACTTTTCTGAAATATGGGTCTCTGGGATTCTTTACTCAACTGGCTTCGTAGGTAATAAAGTTTCCTCCTTTTTGCTTTTTTTTTTTTTTAAAGAAACCCCTTTTTATTTATTTCTTGTTTTGTTGAAATTATATATGGAGAATTGGATTGAATTGAATTTGATTTTCTGGGTTTGTCTTTCTTGCTAAAGGTATTCTTTTTCGTAGCTCAATTTTTTCGATAACTGTGGTTTACCTTCCAGCTTTTGTGCACTTCGACAAATTCCATGGCCGCCTAACTTCCACCAAGACTTGGAGAGTGGGAGGAAGAGAGAGGAAATGAATTTTTGTTTTTTATCTGTTTTAATTTATGTCCTTAGCTTGTAACAATAGCTTTAGTACATTACTTAGTATCAGTCGAGCATTTTCGTATTCCTGGATTTCTGTTTTTACTTGTTGTTGATTTCGTTTCGGTTTTCTGATTGCATTACTTAGTGTTAGTCTTGTATTTTCACTTCAATTTTCCAATTGGTTTGCTTGTTGTTGCCTCTTCCTTTTATCTTTCCTGAGTCTAGGGTCTACCGGTAACCGCCTCTCTGCCTTCTTAAAGGTAGGGGTAAACTACCCTTACCAGACCCCATTTGTTGTTGTTGTTCTTGTTGTTGTTTAATTTCTATGATAATAGAAATTGAGAAGTGAAAGTTGGAATTTGGATTAGAAGAATTAAGTTGTAAGTGCAGGATTTGCTCTTTGGGTCCTGTTGCCCTCTTTTATGGTTGATAGTTTTTGTTCATCTTGCATTAGCTTGAAATGTTTAAGAATTTAAAAAGAAAATTACTTTGGCTGGATTGTAAAAGCTATGATGCTGATAATCAAATAATATTCATTCCATAAATTATCTGGAAAATTGACTTTGTGGTTTGATTTTCTTACATTTTACTTATTGGGACAATTTGCTTTTGGTGAAGGAGGGGCTTATGGAACTAAGTTAATGGATGCGTCATTTTAGAGTAATTAATAGCGTTAGTAGTTAAACCAGTAGCTCTTGTGAGTTCTTACTATTCAGTTTTTTCCTTGTAAACTCAAATTCATGCGAGCCTGAGTGACATTGTTGATACCTAGTTTCTTATTTGTTTTCTTGTTCAGCCTATTCTTTAAACAGGAAATGGAACTTTCCTTGGTTGGTCTTCAAAATGCGGGGAAGACATCTCTTGTCAATGCCATTGCTGTGAGGACCTTATATGCTCTCTTTCCTCTTCCCCCTTCCCCTATCCCTTTATCATTTTGACGGTAACATTTTTTAACATACGTATTTTGATCTTTATCAGACTGGAGGCTACAGCGAGGACATGATTCCGACGGTTGGTACCTTGTCCTCACAGAATTAAATTAGCAATTTTGATTTCTCTCGTTTTACTTGCTCAATAAAGTTCCTTACAATTAGGTTGGATTTAATATGCGTAAAGTTACAAAAGGAAATGTTACCATAAAACTCTGGGATCTTGGAGGCCAAAGGAGATTTCGTACGATGTGGGAGCGCTATTGTCGGGGTGTCTCTGCGATATTGTAATTCCTAATCTTGATCTCTATCCTTATCTGTCTCCTCAAATTTGTTTACTTATTTCTTTGGTTTAATACAACATGCACTTAATGCTTTTGCCCGAATTCATTATTTTGACACTTAAAGGGATGAAACTGTTCCCGAGCTATGCACCTCAAGTTTCATTAACACCGTGCAAGGTTCCGCAAATTAAATAAATTTATAAGCATCCCATTGTAGTTGCTGCGTTTTTTGTGGGTAGGGGAAAGTACTGGGTGCCTTCTTTCTCGCGGCCATGTTATTTTCCCTGCCTTAAGTTAACATCACTGTTGTTGGTTTTCGTTGAGTGTGTCATACCTACACTTGCCTCATCATCGTCGTTGGTAGTTGGATGGCTTATGTCCATGATACTACACAGCTTTATTGACTTCTCAGTTATAGCTTGCTTTCTGTTATTAACAAGGACTATAAGTAAGAAAAAAAGAATGCTAGAGAATACTTTTTGTTGAAGACATAAATTAAGCATGCAAAAGTGTGTTCTTTCTAACCGTTCAGTTTTAAATGAGAAGGTCACACTTCAACATGGTAGCAAAGTAGGCAAAGGCAATGAGTTTAATCTCACAGCTATCGATTATCCATTATCAAAAAGAATTTTCACGTGTTTGGTCTATGAAAAAGAATTAGACCTGCACGTAAGGGGGCGTGTTAAAGATATAATTACGTATATGAAAGTGTCTCTTTAACAGCTTAGCTTTTAGATGAAATTGTCACGCGGTTCAGCAGTAGTACTTGGAAACTTCCTTTCATTTGTAGTGATGGTGTTCTTTTTCATCTATTTTTTTTTTTTGGAAACTACAGCTTAACTTTGAGGCGTTAAGTACGAAGTGACTCTGCATTTCGTATTCATGTTGAATTGACATAGGAAATTTTATGCGACAGGTATGTTGTTGATGCTGCCGATAGAGACAGTGTACCTATAACCAGAACTGAGTTACATGAGCTTTTGAAGAAACCTTCATTAAGTGGGATACCTTTGCTTATCTTGGGAAACAAAATTGACAAATCAGAAGCTCTTTCGCAGCAGGCGTTGGTCGATCAACTGTAAGTAGCTGAACGTTAGCCCCTACATAAGAATTTCTTTGGCAGAATACATAGACAGACACCTAAACTTGTCACGTGTCTAGATAAAAAAAATCCTGAGAAGTTTAGGTTATCGTCTTATGTATGCTGTCAAAGTCTTCCTTTTTACGAATTCTCTTTCTTAATTATGATGCCTGTTGCATCTCAGAGGTCTTGATTCAATAACGGATAGAGAAGTCTGCTGCTACATGATCTCGTGCAAGGATTCTGTAAATATCGATGCTGTTATCGATTGGCTAATTAAGCACTCAAAGACCGCGAAATGAAGCGCGCTACCAGGCTTCTGGATGCCTATCGCGGAGGATAAAGTAATCTGGAAATTAGAATGTAGTATTTGAGGGTCTTGAAATGATCTGCTAATGTATTTTCTGGCTGATCTTTCTTTGTTGGTTCAATATAGCTGATTACAGTTCTGTGTAATTTAAGCGTTTAAACAGTCATAACTCATACATCTTTCATTATGAATTTACGTTGTTTGTTGTGCTTCTAAGATAATACATTGGGATTTTAATTTTTTAATTAATCGAAAAATCCTTGAGGGTCAGTTGGTGTACGGTTCGAAAGCGGGTGAAATTCAAAAATAGTTAGATTTACGAGTGGTAATTGAAAAATAGCCACAGTTTTAAAAGTAATCGAAATTTAGTCATTTTTCATGTAAAGATAAATCTGAACGAAAACACTATTCAAAATCCGGAAAATATTCCAGCATAATATACTGGAGTTCGAATTTTTTACATGTGAACTTCTAGCATAATATACTGGAGTTCTAGTATATTATATTCCAGATAATATACTGATCCAGCATAATATGCTGGAAGTTCATACACAGGTGCTCCAATCTCCAGCATATTATGCTGGAACTTTCCGTGTGCTGGAGTTCCAGCATAATATGTTGGAAGTTAATACACAGATGCATCAATCTCCAGCATATTATGCTGGAACTTTTCATGTTGCAGCAAAATAGTGACTATTTTTTATTGACTTTGCATCCGCTGGTTATTTTTCAATTATCAATTCGAAAACTGGCTAGCCCGTACTATTTTTACTTCGAAAGTCGGTGAATAATAGATCCGTCCTACCTTCTCTCACTTAAAAACCATGCTTTCCTAACGCGCACACAAACCTTAAACCAAATAATCTCTAAGCTGTCCACGAAAATGGAAATCATAGAGAAGCTGAACAACAGACCAACAACAACTAATACGCCTCAATTACATGTTAGTTAGGGTTGGCAAAATGAATTTTATCTGTTCATGTCATTCTATTTAAAAATGTCTAAGTCATTTACTATTGAAAAAGATTCTAACATTAGAGGTTCTCTAACATTTTCTAATATGGCCAAAACTTAATCACGATTATAACCTACACTAACATGAAAAATCAAAAATCGTGCTTAATTCCTTTTTTATGGTCCTAAAATGCCGAAAAATAAAGAACGGTTATGGTGAGGCAAAGGCTATAGTTCATTAGATCGTTTCTGATGGGCCCATAAAATTTGAGGCGATTCGCGGCAGGTTGCCTGAATTCATGAAGATGACGTGAATATTAGTACACGAAAAAAGGGAAAGTGTTAGAATTCCTGCTTTATAGTCCTAAAACGCCAAAAAAGAGGAACGGTCATGCCGAAGCAATAACTATGGTTCATTAGGTCATTTCTGATGGGCCTACAAAATTTTAGGCGATTCGAAAATCATACTGAATTCTTATTTCATGGCCCTAAAATACCAAAAAAAATGAGGAACAGTCAAGGAAAAACAATGACTATGGTTCATTAGGTCGTTCATGATTGACCCACAAAATTTTAGGCGATTAGGGGCCCGTCGTCTGGATTCATGAAGATGACATGGACATTAGCACATGAAAAATCAAAAATTGTACTGGATTTCTGTTTTATAGCCCTAAAACGCCAAAGAACAGTCATGGCGAAGTAATGACTATGGTTCATTAGGTCGTTTCTGATGGGCCCACAAAATTTTAGGCGATTAGGGGTCGGTCTCCCAAATTCCTGAAGATGGCGTGGACATTAGCACACGAAAAATCAAAAATCGTGCTGAATTCCTGTTTTATGGCCCTGAAATGCCAAAAAATGAAGAATAGTCATGGAGACGCAATGACTATAGTTCATTAGGTCATTTCTGATGGGTCCATAAAATTTTAGGCGTTTTGGGGCCGGTCGCCCGAGTTCATGAAGATGACGTGGACATTAGCACACGAAAAATTAAAAATCATGTTGAATTCTTTGTTTTATGGTCCTAAAACTCCAAAAAATGAGGAACGGTCATGGCGAAGCAATGACTACGGTTCATTAGGTCATTTCTGATGGGCCCAAAAATAATTAGGCGATTCGGGACCGGTAGCCCGAATTTATTAAGATGACATGGACATTAGCACACAAAAATCAAAAATCGTGCTAAATTCATGTTTTATGGCCCTAAAATATATATAAATGAGAAAAGGTCATGACGAGACAATGACTATGGTTCATTAGGTCTTTTTGATGAGTCCACAAAATTTTAGGCGATTCGGGGCCGGTCGCCCTAATTCATGAAGATGGCGTGGATAATAACATACGACAAAATTGAAAATCGTGCACAATTTCTGTTTTATGGCCCTAAACGCCAAAAAACGAGAAATGGTCATGGCTACGCACTGACTATGGTTCATTAGATTATTTCTGATGGGCCCACAAAATTTTAGTCGCAGGTCGCCCGAGTTCATGAAGATGGCGTGGACATTAGCACACGAAAAATCAAAAATCGTGTTGAATTCGTGTTGAAATGAGCTAATAAACCATAGACATTGTCTCTCTAAAACACCAAAACAAACGGAACAGTCATAGAGAGACAATGTCTATGGTTTATTAGCTCATTTCTGATGGAACCACTAAATTTTAGGCGATTCGTAGTCGGTCGCACGAATTCATAAAAATGGCATAGACATTAGCACGCGAAAAATCGAAAATAGTACTGAATTCATGTTTTATGGCTCTAAATTGCCATAAAAAAAAGAACCGTCTTGGAGAAGTAATGAATATGATTCATTAGGTTGTTTCTAACGGGCCTACAAAATTTTAGGCGAATAGGGGTCGGTCGCCAGAATTCATGAAGATAGCGTGGACATTAGTATCTGAAAAATCGACAATCGAGTTGAATTCCTTTTTTATAGCCCTAGAACGCCAAAAAATGAGGAACGGTCATGGCGAGACAATGACTATGGTTCATTAGCTCGTTTTTATAGGCCCACAATATTTTAGGTTTCGGTGTTGGTCACCCGAATTCATGAAGATGATGTGGGCATTAGCCCACCAAAAATCGAAAATCGTGCGTAATTCCTGTTTTACAGCCCTAAAAGTCAAAAACGAGGAAAGATCATGGTGAGGCAATGACTATAGTTTATTAGGTTGTTTCTGATGGGCTCACAAAATTTTAGGCATTTCGGGATGGGTCTCCCGAATTTATGAATATGGGATGGGTATTAGCAAATGAAACTTTGAAAATCGTGTTAAATTCGTATTTTATGGCCCTAAAATGCCAAAAATCGAGGAACGAACGAAGCAATAACTATAGTTTATTAGCTCATTTCTGACGAGCCCACAAAATTTTAGACGATTCGGTGTTGGTCACTTGAATTCATGAAGATGGTGTTGGGATTAGCACACAAAAAATCGAAAATCATGCTGAATTCCTATTTTATAACCTTAAAAGGCCAAAAAATAGAAACGATCATGGTGAGATAATTACTATAGTTTATTAGGTCGTTTCTGATGGCCCACAAAATTTTAGGTATTTCGGGACCGGTAGCTCGAATTCATGAAGAAAACATGGGTATTAGCGCATGAAAAATTGAAAACCGTGCTGAATTCGTATTTTATAGTCCTAAAATGCCAAAAAAAATGAGGAACGGTCATGGCGAAGCAATGACTATGGTTCTTTAACTCGTTTCTTATGGGCCCACAAAAATTTATGCGATTCGATATCGGTCGCCCGAATTCATAAAGATGACATAGACATATTAGCACACCAAAAATTAAAAATCGTGTTGAATTCCTATTTTACGGCCCTAAAATGCCAAAAAATGAGGAACGGTCATGACGAGGTAATGATTATGGTTTATTAGGTCGCTTCTGATGGGCCCACAAAATTTTAGGCACTTCGGGGTCAGTCTCCTAAATTCATGAAGATGGCGTGGATATTAGCACACGAATAATCGAAAATCGTGCTCAATTTATATTTTATGGCCCTAAAACGCTAAAAAATGAGGAACGGTCATAGCAAGGTAATGACTATGCTTCATTAGATCGTTTCTTATGGTCCCATTTTAGGCGATTCGGGGTCGGTCGTCCGAATTCATGAAGATGCATAGACATTAGAACACGAAAAATTGGAAATCGTGCTGAATTCATATTTTGTGACCCTGAAATGCAAAAAAATAAGGAACGGTCATGGCGAGGTAATGACTATGATTCATAAGCTCGTTTCTGATGGGGCAACAAAATTTTATGTGTTTTGGGATTGGTCGCCCGAATTCATGAAGATAGCGTGGACTAAGCACACGAAAAATAAAATATCATATTGAATTCATGTTTTATGACCCGAAAATGCCCAAAAACAAGCAATGGTCATGGCGAAGCAATAACTATAGTTCATTGAGTCATTTCTAATGGACCCACAAAACTTAAGGCGATTCGGGGTTGGTCGTCCGAATTCATGAAGATGGCGTGAATATAGCACACGAAAAATCAGAAATCATACTAAATTTCTGTTTTATGGCCCTAAAACGTAAAAAAAATGAAGAACGATCATAACGAGACAATGATTATGGTTCATTAGGTCGTTTCTGATTGTAAAAAGGTTTAACATAATACTCTGTATTCTTTAGCCATCAATCTAGCCTTCAATCCTTTAATTGTTCCATCAATTTTTTGTTGACTTTATATATTCGCATGTAGCCCTTATCGAGCCCAAGATCTTATTGGAAATGAAAAAATCTTGAATAGGCGGCCAACTTTTTGGAGAGAGCAATGTTCATAGACCAGTGAGCAGAAATACAACTCCATTAACTGCTTGTCGGGCATGATAGGTGATAGTATTACACCCTTCTCAAAAGAACCGTATGTGACACTCTAACGTCATGAATTCTTATGAATATAGGTCTCTCATTGAGTGGAATAAAGAAGGTTTTGAAGAAAAAAAATAAATAGCTCATTTATAATCAGTGGATACTCGTAATATTACAACCGTTCTCACAAAATAGAAACCAAAAAGGAAAACTAAATGGTCTTATCTTTGAAGATTTTCTGTAGTCAATATAAAACATTATAATCTATATCTATATCTATCTATCTATATATTATTATAAAAGCACGAATATATTATGCTAAATGTTGAACGACAAAAATATCCTTGAAATTTCGATTGACTTTTATGTCCTTAAATAGTTGTATAATTTAAGAATATAATTGTAATTACCCAGGGTTAGAATTCTTTTCAGATTTAAATTGCACATATGCAACCCTACAAAGTTTATAGTTTATTTCCATTAGGATTCATATTAGATATGATTTACATTGTTCAATCAAAGTTAAACTTTTTACTAGGATTCTTATAATTTATACACTTAGAATTCTTGTCATCAGTGACACATAGTTCAAGGGAAATCCGATTATTTTATATAAGTTCTCTTCTCTTATTATATCTTTACTCCTCTGCGTATTGTCTCGGAGTTTGATATTTTTATATTTTAGTTTTGAATTCCATATATAATATCATTGGTGATTGATACTTCTTGAGATTTAAGTGATTTTTGTGGATTGTAATTGCTCATCCAATTTTTAGTAACTTCAAATTATTCACATGAATTGGTTATAAGTTTAAATTTTCGTAGACTGAAATATTTTATAGTGTGTTTAATATCAAGATTGAACTGAAAAGACAATTTAAAAGTAAACAAAAATTACTATAATACTTAGGAATGTATTTTTACTATATTATTTGCATGAAATTCTATACAGACTAGACGCTAATGGATATTGTGTAACTTGAAATACTGGTAACTTCTGAATTAGAGCTAAAAATTAACATATAATGGAATCAATAATTAAATATTAAAAAAATAGATTGTAAAATTTCACTTATAAATTTGAAAATCACAAGTACATATTTTAATGTTAAAAAATTTAGTCTGCATAAGATTTTGTTTCATATGGTATGAGTATGATTCTTTGGAAGGAAATTAGGTGGAATGACTTCTTTGAGTGTGTTTTCTTGGTTATACATCGCTTTAACGATTTTCAATAGTTTATAAGTTAGAGTAAAATGAAGATATTTAAGAAACTTTGCGATGATTCTAAAAATAAAAATTGAGGTTGCTAAGAGCAAACACTTTCTACTGTTGAGTACTGAATAATTTTTCTCAGACAATAAATGGTTAATGATATTTAGCTACTCAGTGTAAAAAGTATTACTAATTATATTTTTATTCAAGTAATAATACTGCCTAATTGTTGATTTTGATGCTCTAGAAAACGTCTTTTCATTTGAAAAATTTGCCACTCATTGATACAATTATTGAAAGAACTATATCTCTTGTCATATATATATATTTAATTTAATATGAATTTATAAAAGTGTTTTATCATATAATTTTTTTTTATAGATTAACGCGGAAAATTACGTGCAACACACGTGAATAGAAATTAGTATTATTATAAAAGCATGAATACAATGTCGGTTTACAAAAATAACCTTATAATATTAAGCATAATAACTCATAATAAAAGGATATAACCGAAATTTATAGCCTTATAATCCTATTAGTTTTAGGACATCATACTATACGTTAGGAATCCTACATGATTACCGTTAGGAATCCTATTAGTATAATTACTTTCGGGTTGTCTAATTCATATAAAATTGAATAAATAAATATTTTTAGTCATGTAATCCTATTACTTTTAGGATATACTTCTTAAAAATTCTTATTACTAATTTAATTTGAAAACGTATTATAATGTCATATTACTAATTTAATTTGAAAATATATTATATTGTCCAAATTCATTTAGAAAAAGGATAGCCTATATTATTATAAAAGCATAAATGCAATATTAATATACCAAAATAACCCTAAATTATTAAATGGAAGAACTCATAGGAAGAGGACATAACTGTAATAACCTATTTTTTGGATTACAATATCTTCTATGCTAATTTTTAATATTTAAGATTTTAAAATTAATAAAATTTTATCTATTAAATTATTATTAAAAATAGGTAGGAAGGTTTAATAAAATTAATTTCATAAGAATCCTCCGTATTGTCAATACATTACCACTCCATAATGTCCAATACCAGGAAAAAATAAAAGTAATATTAAATGGACTGCATAAAGTGTTAAAATTGAGAAAAAAAATACCCCCACGATAATATATTTTTATATTATATTTGAACTATTTTTCTTCTCAAATAATATTTCTTTTATCAATTTTTTGTGTAATATCTAAAAATACCTAATTATTAAACAACAACTAAGAAAATATTTAAGAATATAAATGTGTAAGAAAGTGAACAAAAATAGTTGGTAAGAGTCAATACCACTAATGATTCTACAAATATAAAGATATAAAAGTGAAATATCATATCAATCTTTTACTCTTTGAAAATAAAATTTATGGTGGATAGAATTATAATTAAGATTAAATATTCAAAATAAGAGATGAACTAATATTAAGATCTGAATCAACATAAAATAAAATATTTTTTATGTTAAAACCAAATAATTAAATATTTTAATTAACTATTTAGCAAGAGAATCCAATTCCATTATTTTTTAAATCCATCATATGAGTAAAATTCTTATTCAAGTTTAAAAAAAAATCTTAGGGTACATAAATTTACTCCATAAAAAGAGCGTTAGAACACAAAGTAAAAAGGTTAGTATATTATTAAAAATCAAAATGCTATACAAGTATCTGGGGAAGCAAAATCAAAGCTAAATCCTAAACAAGAACAAGTTTTCAAGACTATATTATAAAGAATCGACTCTGTTATAACGGAATTATTCTTTGTAGATGCCTCCGGCGGGATCGAAATAATATTTCCATATCATGCATTACTTGCAAATATCATATCAAGAGGCATGACATTGTTAGCGATAATAGCAAGTGGTGTACCAACAACGATTTTATTGTGAGACCACCCACTTTAGATTTGATATACCTCTTCAAACAACTTAAATAACCATCACAAATATATCAAAGCACAACAATGATGCTTAATTTATAAGGAAAGCAAAATTAATAATATGGGATGAAGCATTTATGGCTAAGTGTCAAACGATCGAAATAATTTTCTGAAGTTCTAGAGATATATTGGATATTAACAAACCATTTGGTAATGATTTGGGATGCGATTTATGTCAAGTACTACCAGTAGTTCCAAAATCGACAAAAGCAGACACCGTAAAAGCTAGCTTGTCAAAGTTATACTTCTGGTCTCAAATGAAAAAGATTCAACTGACAAGAAATATAAAGTAAGAATAGATCCAGTATTCAGTGTCTTCTTGCTTTGTGTCAGAAACGAAGAAAAGCATCCAATAAAAGATGATTTGGTTCTTCTTGAACACTTGGTTATCAATCCCAATGGTAATAGTAGTACATTTAATAATATAAATATTTCTATCATTAGATTAAAACGCAATTTGTGCAAATCGCATGATAGAATTATAAAGATATCTTAGCTAGCAGAAATGAATATGTTGATCAACTAAATAAAAGGTTGATTGTAAATTTTATAGTAAAAACAAAAAAAAAATTCAATTTTTGACTATGATACCAATAATTATTATCAAGAAGAATACGTACATACTTTAATAGCAAATGGACTTCTACCATACATGTTTGTTGTCAAATTTATTATTTCTTACATATGTTAGTGTCACCGTTTATATAATAGACTAAGTTAAAATTGATATTCCATTGTATATAGGTTGATTTTGATAAAAAATATGCCCGTCATGCTACTGAAAAACTTAGATACGCCGAATAGCTTATGTAATAGCACACAAATGGTATATAGAAGTTTTGACAATAATGTCATACATGCAAAAATTATGATACTGGTCAATGTGCTTCTATGTATATTCTTATCCCTGAATTCAACTTTCGTCTTCTGAAACTAAGGAATATCCTTTTAAGTTTGTGTGAAAATAATTTTTAGTATGTTTATGTTTTGCAAATATAATAAATAAAGCACAAGGACAAACATTCTACATATTGGACTATATTTACCACAATATATTTTCTTGCATGAACAACTGTATGTTTCACTTTCAAGAGAGATATCAAGATCGACAACAAGAGTTTTGGTTAAGGCAGAGCAACCAAAGCATTAGGAGGAAACATACACAAAAATATTGTCCACAAAGAAGTGTTCGTTAAGAAACCATCACATTAAATATTTTAAAACTATAATACATAATTATCCAACTAACATGACAAAATTGATCATTTGTATAAGTTTTGATGATGTCCTTTTATTTTTAAATTCATGTATTATGCTGATGTAATAGTAATACGTTTCGGCATTAAGACGATTGTTGTATTATTATACATAAAATTTCTCTCATTAATTAATTTTTATTATTCTTTCATATAAATAAATGTTCAAATCATCACGTGCCACTATTAACATGCACGTTCATAGATACGGGTATTTCTAAAGAAGTCCTATTAACATTAGACAATATATAGTTTAAAAGAATAAGAATTCAAAAATCCATTTGTCTTGAATTAGCTTTCCCAATGAACGCTTGACGACGCCGTTTCTTCTTCTTGGTGCATTTCAAAAGGAAACTTTGGTGTTTTTTCACCATGTTGGTATGGCCTAGCTGTGATCAATCTTTATTCACATAAAAGAAACCAAGAAATTAATAAAAAAATGATAGTGTTATTAAAACATAAAAAAAACTTATGAAAAGATAATCTCTCCCTCTTTAAATTTGGCTCTCTTATTTTTCCTATTGAGGGTTGATATGACAAGTGTCTAATTTTCCCCCAAGAGAATTAATCTTTCTTTAATAAATTGTAAGATGAATACTAGAAATTGTAATTTTCTTTATCCGAGATTTATCACGTTCATGAGGATTTGTTAGAATTTTTTAAATACTGTAACAAAAATAGTAATAATAATAATAATAATAATAACAATAATAATAATAATTATTATTATACCTATGCTTTCTCTTCTCCAAAAATCGGGCAAGGGTTGCTTTACGAGCCATAGCCAGTGCTGCAAATATAAAATTTAGATTTATTTAAATAATATAAAAATAGAGAAGTAATGAAATTTAAAAATTAAAAAAAAAAAAAGAACCAAGAGCTGCTACCTCCTTTAGCATAATTTGTGGATGTATTTGGTGTTGAAGGCTCAGATTTATTTTCTTCATATTTTTCTTTATTTGCCTTTTCTAAAATCTCATTCATGTGGAGAGTCGTTGATTTAGAAGCCAAGTCCATTATTAGTTCAGCCTATATAATTCAAAAAATAAGAATATTACATTGTTAATATATACTAAAGTAACAAATTAAAACAGCCGCACGAAAAGGAAAATAGATATAAGAAATAATTCCAAGAACCTTTTCTGGTGTGATATCCTGAAAAATATGGACCTCACCCATGTAGAATATGGTCAACGTTGACTCAGGTTTCCTCAAGTGGTCAGAATTTTTCCTGTAAAATAATTTTTTTTATATAACAAAATAAAAAATCACCATACTGTTTGTAATATAGTATTTTTTTTTTTTTTTTTTTTTTTTGTACTACAACTTCAAATAGTTTATTAAGAAACTATGAAAATACCTGGAATCTTTTGTGGTGAATTTGTAATTCTTTAGGGATGAACTTTTTGAATTACTGTAAATTATTGGGGAGGAGTTGTAATTCTGGAAAATAGAAGAAAGAAAATTCGATTAAATTTAGTTTATGAGAATATTTTAATTAATAAATGAAGGAATTAGAATTCAACAAGAAATTGTGAAGAACCTGAAAAACTCTGCTTTCAGCTTGAGTAGCTAAGTTAGCAATAGATGAAAATGGCCACTTCATCCCAGAAGCTAATGCCAAACATAAAGAAGAAGAATAGTTAGCATATGCAAATGACACAGAGAGAAAAAAAAAACTTTGAATCGCTTTTGTTAGGAAATGCTTTAACCTTTAATATGAAAAAAATTCGATACGAATCTGGATATATTCGAACTCCAATACAGATAAAGAATAAGCGAACACAAGTGAAAAACGAAAAAAACAAAGAAAAAAAGTTATTTTTGGTTGAGGACGACTTTTAAACATTTGATGGATCCCAAAATTTACTATATTTGCTGTGAGATAAGTAGATAAGATTGCAACTTAATTACTTATCTTTTGTAAATGAATTTAATATAGCTTATATGATATTTATAAGAATATATGCACACCACACTTAAAAGGATAAGGTTTTCGTTGTATTAGAAATTCTTTTTTCCTAATCATTGACGAAATCAAAAAATTCAATAAGAGTGTTTAAATTTTGAATATTATTTATTTGTGGGCTATACAAGAATGTTCAAAGTCTATTTTTTATTAATAACAAATAATATTTTATCTAATATATAATATAATTTTTTGGCGAAGGATATTCAGTTTGAACAAACATATAGTTGGGCCTCTGTTCCTAATCATACATCTTTAGAGGCCGGCCGACATCACCTGTGAACACCATTTTAAGAGGCAAAATTTATTAAGACGAATTTTGTAATTTCAACTGAATTCTTTGTTTTTAACTCAAATATTGTACATATATACATGCATTTTTTGCTTAATTCCCCATCCTTTTTTCCATTCTGAACATATTATCTTTTTGCCTCTGGAGTCTATTCCCCATCTTTTTTTTAATATATCTTTTGATTTCCAACCCGGGTCCAGTACATGCCAGAGCTCGACTATATAAGAATTCACCTCGCATAAGTTCTATTTAAGAGGGGAAGTGTTCCCTAACGGGAATTTTGCCATACCCAAAGCTCGAATCCAAGACTTTTGATTAAAGGTAGAGAAATCTTATCTATCCCACCACAACCCATGTTGTTGGTCTTCTTTTCTTCACTTGCTTTCAGCCATGTCGATCCATGTCTATTCAACATTATGTTCTTTTATTTCATTGGAACTAGTGGTGGTAATTGGGCGGGTTATGTCGGATTTGGGCGGGTTAAAAATGGATTGAGCAAAAATAAATTGAGTCTCAACCCGTCCATATTTCATACGGGTCAAAAACGAGTTGGGTGTCAAATGGGCGGGTTGAATATGGGTTAACCCATAATATATAAGTGTAATATTTTTTCAAGTGCAATTTATAATTTTTCTTTTGCTCATGTTATTTAGTGACATAAGCTTAACTGGAATAATATATACTCTTCTTCATTAAATTTATTCAAATTTGACTATCATATTGTAAACTTAAGTTACTCTTTCAAAAATATGACAGTTTTCATTTTGGGAAGAAAATGTGTTTAATGCATATCAAGCAATATCACTAATAATATATGACTCTGTACATTTTTCACTTTGTTCATATATTGTCTGCAATCCAAAATAAAACTAACAAATTCAAAAAAAATATATACACTATAAATAGAAAGATACTATTTATATTCAAAAATATATTCAAATAATTCACTAATAATATATAATTATGTACAAATTCAACGTTGAAATATGTGTTCCATAACTAAAAAAAAATACTATTTTTTTGGTTGAAAAAGAAAGTACGCTTTCTACAATATGAAAAAAAAAAGTACTCAATTTGTTGAAATGAAAGAAAATATTTTTTTACATAATGAAAAAAAACTCATTTTGTTGAAATGAAAAAAAATATTTTTTCTACGTCATTTTATTGAAGTGAAAGAAAATACTTTTTTTATTTTATGAAAGAATGTACTTTTTTTGTTGAAATGAAAAAAAATATTTTTTCTACGTCATTTTATTGAAGTGAAAGAAAATACTTTTTTTATTTTATGAAAGAATGTACTTTTTTTGTTGAAATGAAACAAAAAACTTTTTTTACATCATGAAAAAAGAAAATACTCATTTTGTTAGAAATGAAAAAGAAAGAACTCTTAATAATATTTTTATTGAGTTGGATGGTAAGTGGGTGTGGGTGTTGGGTGNCGTTCTCTTGATAAGGAAAATATTTTCTAAAATATTTAAGTCAACCAAATATGGAAAAAAAAAATACTCACATAGTCAACTATAGTGAGAAAAACATACAAGGAAGAGGAATTGAAATACCTTTATAGCATTTTCAATTTAAAAAATGATATCATTTATTTTGAATGAGCAAAAGTTTGGAAGATAACCGATTAAGCTAACCCATATTTCATCATGAATAACCATATTCCTACGCGTTGAATATGGGTTGAAGCCCAAATTTTACCCAACTTAAATATCAATCATCCAACTCATTAAAATATGGACGGATTGGGCGGGTTGACAAAATGGGCTCATTTTGCCAGCACTAATTGGAACTAAAATTATATTAGCTTTAGTATGAATTATTCGAAAAAACAAAAGGTTTTGCGTGAATTATCTAAATAACTTAGATTTACTTTGACAACAGACTATTAATGATCATAAACAATGAATTTTACTTAATTATGATCAGCAAAAAGAGAAGTTAATTTCTTGATATAATACCCCAAACATAATTAACTACAAGAAGAAGCTCAATTCAATAAAGATTATAACTAAGATAGGTCTGCTACTATTACTTAATTAACCCAAAAACAACTCTTTTTGAATTGGAAAAGGAAGCAAAAAAAAAAAAAAAGATTAATCACAAGGAATTAATGACGTGATCAAAATAAGTAAGAACTGAAGAATCGAACGGAAGTTATTGTAAATATAAAAAAGAAAAATATTTATGAATATCTGAAAATAACATAAGAAGGCTAATAACAAAGGCTAGAGTAAAAGATGCAAGTACTGAAAATCATTTTAATTAACAAATTTCATTTCCATATATTCTTTTTCAGTCAATTGAATTTACTCTCATTTGAGATCTACTTACAATAATGAACCCTAATAAATCTTAGCGCAAGACGTCGTGTTATAATAACCCTAAATAGATTTCATTTCTTAGTTTGACCATATTTTCCCAATTAAATAAATTATTTCTTACTTCCAAAATCAAATCTCAAATCAGTCTACAAATTTTTTTTCCCAGGAACTCAAAAAGAATTTTCTTTTTTATTTCTGTACTGGTAAATATATGAGAAAAAGATTTGCTTTTTTACCTTTGGTGTGTTGCTTCGCCATTTCTGATTGTGGTCTGGTGTTGAGGTCCATGAAATCTATCTCAATTCTTGAATCCATTTTTTCACTTTCTCAAAGATTTAGGATACAAAAATAGAAATCAAGAATTGGATATAAATAAGAAAATATGTTCTGATTAAACTCTTAAGAAAGAACCAAAAGAAGAATGAGTATAAGTGTTTTGATGAGCTCCATGCAATAAGAGACTACAAATTGATGGAACATTAAAAGCAGAAGAAAAAGAAGAAAACAGCCATTAAAATCTATAAAATTAGACAGAAAAACCACGTGCTGATTGGTAGCCACAACTTGTTACTTGGTTCGATATCCGCATTAAAGTCCGACTAATTAAGATTCACGCCGTATAAGACTCATTAAAGGAGAAACCATTTTCTTCTTGGTGACGGTATTTTTTGGAAAAAAAATATTGTATGGCCTCTTTGAAAATATAACCGAAAAATATTTTATATATATATATATATATATATATATATATATATATATATATACACACACATTGTTGTAGTTTTATATTTATGTGGCTATCAGATGTAAATAATTTCGATCGCAGACTAAAAGTGATATTTGCCTCTTTTTTTTCCGTTCTCAAAGTTCAAATTCGAGACCTCCAATTATGATGGAGACAGAGGCGTATGCAATGTATAAGCTATCGGTTCAACAACCCATAGCTTTCGCGCATATTATGTATTTTTGCGCAAAAAATTATTAAATATGTATAAATAATAAATTTTAAATCTATTAAATTAAATAAAATATGGTAAAATTACAAATCTAAACCCATAAAATTTAAAATCTGAGTTCGCTACTGGGAGAATATATTGTATCTATCCCACCAAATCCGTGACGGTATTTGTTGATTTTATTTTCTTCTTCTTCATCATCTTTTTCTTTTCTTTCTCTTTTTTTCATGACGTGTTAAATGATTGGTTGGTATTTAGCCGAGTAATATCGACGTATTGCTTTCATGTTACAGAAATGTTTAAAACGAGGGTCGGCCTACGTACGTCTCATTCAAATCGAATGTCTATATATCCACCCCAAAGGCCGCATTTGATTTGCGAACGTGGCTAAACGATATAGTGAAATGATAAAGGTTTATTTTACAGAAATAAATTCGAGCCATGAGAATATTATTTTCCTCGATAGAAAATGTTAAAGCACCGTAACAAGCTTTTAAAGGTGTGAATTCAAATTAATCGAATCAGTAAATTTTAAGTACTTATAATATTTGAAAGAAAATAACTTTTTGATAAAGTTCTCTCTTGACATTTAAAAAAATATACAAAATTATTTAATATTTTTCCCCAAAAATTTGATTAAATTTTGTAAAAGGTCTTCTTTTCAATATATGCTTTTTATTAATATAAAATAATTTTGTTGGTCCATTTTTTGTTTAAATATAACTGAAACGTCAAAGTCGACAATCAAGATACTTTGGTAATATGTGTACTAAAAGGACGTGGCCCTTTTATAGCCTTATTCAGTAATAATGGTGAGAAACGGCTAGTCTTTTATTCATGCTTATCATATTTTCCTCGGACTAAAATACCTATTTCCTCTTTCAATTTAGGGGAACGTAATTGATTAGCATACGAAGTTTAAAACAATCTAATGATATTTATATTTTATAATTATTAAGAATAAAAAAAATTAAAGTTATAATATTTTTAAAGTTAAAAAATGTCTTTCATTTTAAACTAGACTAAAAAAATAATAATTGACATAATAAGCTGAAAGGGAGGAAGTATATTTTAGATAATATCAATTGTAAAAATAATAGTCTCTGAATTTTTGTTACTAACTAGTAAGATAAGGTTTGATTGTGATGACCCAAAATATCATCTTTAAATTTAATAATTAATTATGTGTTCTAAGACCTCGAAAAGTACTATTTATTATTCCTCGACTTGCGTGCGCAATCAGTAAAAAAAATTTAGAAAGTTTTTATGCGAAAAATGGATTAAAATATGAATTAGAGCTTTAAAACTCAATTGAGTTGACTTTGGTCAACATTTTTAGTAAACGAACTCGGATCAGTATTTTGACAATTTCGGTGGGTCCATATCGTGATTTGGGACTCGGGCGTATGCCCGGAATCAAATTCCGAGGTCCCTAGCTCGAGATATGGAATTTTGATGAAAAATTAAAAGTTAAAGTTCAAATAGTGACCGGATGTCTAATTATGTGCAAACGATCCCGGAATATAATTTTGATGATTTCAACAGCTCCGTATGTTGATTTTGGACTTAGGAGTGTGATCGGAATTTTATTTGGAAGTCCGTAGTGAAATTAGGCTTGAAATGGCTAAAATAGGAATTTAAAGTTTGGAAGTTTGACCGGGGAGTTGACTTTTTGATATCGGGGTCGAAATCCAGTTCTGAAAATTTTCATAGTTCCGTTATGTCATTTATGACTTGTGTGTAAAATTTGAGGTCAATCGGAGTTGATTTGATAGGTTTTTACATCAAGTGTAGAAGTTAGAAATTTTAAGTTTCATGAAGCTTGAATGGGAGCATAATTCGTGGTTTTAGCGTCGTTTTATATGATTCGAGTTTTCAAATAAGTTCGTATGATATTTTAGAACTTGTTAGTATATTTGGTTGAGGTCCCGAGGGCCTCGGGTGAGTTTCAGAAGGTTTACGGATCAAAAGTTGGACTTAAAACAGCTACTGTAATTTTTCCTTTCTGTTGGAAATTCTGGCCCAAAATCGAGGCCCAAAAATCGATCTCCCAAAAATAGAGGCCGAGGATCGAGGCCATGGATCGAGGGCTGTCTGGGCAGAATTATAAAAGATGACATTCGTCTCATTCGCCATTTTTAACAAATTAGAGGTTGAGCAGAGGCGATTTTTGATAGATTTTCAAAGAAAAGACATTGGGGGTAAGTGATTCTAACTTGGATTTGGTCTATAAACATAAATATATCATTGTTCTCATCATTTAATTAGTGTTTTGAGATAGAAATTTGGGAAAAATTTAGAAATCTTATAGAAACGAATTTTTGAGATTTCAGTATCGATTCGGAGTCGGATTTGAGTGAAACTGGTATGGTTGGACTCGTAATTTAATGGGTTGTCGGATTTCGTAACTTTCGCCAGATTCCGAGACGTGGACCCCACGGACGAATTTTTTATTAATTTCGAGATTTTTTATTTAAAATGTAGTATTTTCTTATAGAATTGATTCCTATAATTTTTAGTAATTGTATCGAATTATTTTGGCTAGATTCGAGCGAGACAGAGTTGGATAATCGTGGAAAAGGTCTTCTAGTGGATTAAATTGGAGCAAGACGAGGTAAGTCTCTTGTCTAATTTTGTGAGGGGGGAATTACCTCATAGGTGATTAAAATTAAATAATTGTTGCTAATTGTGGGGACTACGTACGCATGAGGTGACGAGAGTCTGTGCGTAGTTACTATTAAATGCTAAAGTTCAGGTAGTTTAGGACTCAAAACATGAATTACTTGTGTAAATTGTATTCTTTGTTTAATTAATATTATTTGATATATATACATATATATTATGAATTGTTAGATAAAAATATTAGAGGATGGAAATCTCATATACTTGATTTTTTTTGTTCTGTTTAAATTTATTTAATTGTTAAGAGAAACTGTTCTTCCTCCTGAATTTATCTTATAACAAATATACTCTCATTCCGAAGGTACATAAGAAAATGTCCTCTTTTCTTGTGGAGCGGGTCGAACGCCTCGGCAGGATAGATACATCTATGGATCGTGCCGCATGTCCCTCGGCAGTGTACACAATATTCTGGATCGGGCCGAACGACCTCGGCAGAAATCGTGCTTAATAATAATAATAATAACACGATACTTTGACGGTTTATTGCAGCTTGTAAAGCTATTTGATAAATTGAAAATTTATTAAAATTGAATTGCACCTTGTAACGATATTTGATATATTGGAATTTTATTGAAATTGAAGGATTTTATATATATATATATATATATATACGGAGAATTCTTGCATTTTGAAGGAATTTAATTATTTCTGCTGGTTAAATAAATTATTGTTATATTCTGTGAATCATGCTGATTTAAATATTCTAGTCTTATTTCAATTATTATTATTGACCCATAGTGAGTGTCAAAGTTGGCCATCTCGTCTCTACCACTTCGAGATTACGCTTGATACTTACTGGGTACACGTTATTTACGTACTCATACTACACTTGCTGCACTTTTTATGCAGGATCTGAGACAGGTACTAGTGGAGGGCCTATCATCACATATCCACGTCATCCCGAGGCATAGTGGTGAGCTGCCTTTCTGAGCCGTTCTGCAGCTACCGGTATTTCTTCTTATATTTATATTCTGTCTATTTCATTTCAGACAGTATTCGGAGTTTTGTATAATCTATTAGATGCTCATGCACTTGTGACACTGTATCTTGGCACACACATTGGTAGAATTTAGTATTTTATTATTTTCTTGGATTAAAAGTTTAATCAATGTACGTTTGATTTATCAGCTGGCTTGCCTAGCTGTAGTGTTGGGCGCCATCACGACTTATAGGTGAAATTGGGTCGTGACAACATGGTATCAAAGCACTTGGTTCACGTAGGTCTCACAAGTTATGAGCAGACCTAATAGAGTCTTGCGGATCGGTACAGAAACGTCTGTATTATCTTCGAGAGGTTATATGGTGTTAGGAAACTACCTTTCTTCATATTCCATCGTGCAATATATGTGGTACTAAGTATCCTTCTCTTATTCTCTCACAGATGGTGAGAACACGCTCTAATGAGATTCCATACCAGGGAAGAACTACTCCCCCAGTTGCTAGAGGCAGAGGCCGAGGGAGGGCTCTAGGCCGTGGTGGAGAGCGAGGACGTCCCAGGACTCTTCCAGTTATGCCGCCAGTGGGTCCAACAGAGAATCCCATTATTGAGGAGCAGGGTGAGGTGCCTGTGGCAGAGCCAGCTCCGGTGGATTTCACATCTGCACCAGGATTTCAAGACGTCATGGGTCGTATGCTGCGGTTCATGGACAATATGACTCAGACTGGTTTATTTCCGGCAGACCCAACCACATCTCAGGCGGGCGGGGGAGCACAGACCCCAACCGCGCAGGCTTATGGACATGCAACTGATGTATATCAGACCCAGGGTGCACTACCCATGGGTGGAGCCCAGCCAGTAGCAGCAGCTACACCTGAGCCCAGGCCAGTTGTAGCCTCCGATCCTCAGAAATTATTGGACC